GATAACCGCCCTTGACCTGGTTGCCACGCTCTTCTCAATGCACCCCAGGACACCATTGGCCTTCCTGGCCATGAGGGCGCACTGCTGGTCATGGAGAGCTTGTTGTCCACCAGGACTGCCAGGTCCTTCTCTGCAGTGCTGCTTCCCAGCAGGTCACTCCCACCTTGTACTGGTGCCTGGGGTTACTCCTCCCTGGGTGCAGGACCCTACCCTTGCCCTTGTTGAATTTCATTTGGTTCCTCTCCACCCAACTCTCCAGCCTGTCCAGGTCTCGCTGAATGGCAGCACAACCTTCTGGTGTGTCAGCCACTCCTCCCAGTTTAGTATCATCAGCAAACTTGCTGAGGGTACACTTTCCCCTCGTCCAGCTCATTGATGAATATGTCAAACAAGACCAGACCCAGTACTGATCCTTGGGGCGCACCACTAGCTACAGGCCTCCAACTAGACTCTGCGTCACTTATTGCAACCCTCTGAGGTCTGCCATTCAGCCAGTTCTCAACCCACCTCACTGTCCAATGAAATGGACACCAAGCAATGAAAGCCATTTCTACTCCATGCCATGCCCCCTCTCCCTCCCCTCTTGATCTGTGCTCAGAGGCTCTCCCTGCAGCCTCCCTTCACTTGAAAGCCAGATGTGGCTTTCAACAGGGAATCTTCTGGTAGACCCCATGCAGCCAGCTCCTCACACACACAGCGCGCCCCAGAGACCTGGCAACCACATGCAGCTTCCTACAAGCCCGTTACCTCCAAATAGCCACTGTAATCCAGCTCAATCAGCTCAAAAGTGGCAATCAGCTCTCCCGCTGCTTTGGTGCCTTTGTAGAAATCAAAGAACTGCAGGGCAGGTTTGGTGTACTGCTCATCGACCAGCTTCACCTGTGGGACAGCAAAGGCCTGGCCAAGGAACTCGGGGGAGCCCTGTGGAAAACAGGGGAATGGGTCAAAGCATCGCTGTGTTATTTCACCACCTCAGAGAAAAGACCACCACTACTTCCAGCCAATCTGGGACAGCACAAGACCACTCTTCCACCCTTGCTATCCTCTGCTTTGATCTCCATCCAGAGCTAGGAGCAGATGAGAAGCACCTGCAGCAGCTCCTCTTAACTCCCAGTTCGTCTCCATGCAGAACTGGGCAAAAGGCCTGGGACCATGCACCAGAGGACATCAAAGCTAGATCAGGTTGCTCAGAGTCTCCTCCAGCCAGGGTTTGAATGTCTCCAAGGATGGAGATCCCACAAGCTCTCTCAGCTCCAGCCCAGCATTTGAACTCCCTCTGGGTGAAAATTGCTTCCTTATATCCAGCTGGATATTTTTCTTGTTCCAACTTGTGTCCATCGCCTGTCATCCTGCCCCTGGGTACCTCCAAGTCTGACTCCACCTTTTCTACCCTCTCCCATCAGGCAGCTGGAGGCAGCAATAAGACACTGTCTTTGCCTCATCTTCTCCAGCTCTCCACCTCTCCTCACTCTGTCCTGTGCTCCAGCCCCAACCATCTTAGTGGCCTCCTCTGGACTCACTCCAGCATCAGTATCTGTCTTGTACTGGGACCCAGGAAATGGACCCAGGGAAGCTGCTGAGCTACACGGGAGAATCCGGTGCAAGTTACACCATTCCCCTTACGATAACAAAGAGGCCCCAGGAGAGGAGTGTGACTTCAAAGTACTAATGAAGACAGAAAATGAAGGACTGAGGAGGGATGGAAGATGACACCTGGGGGACAGAGGGGAAGGAACAGCACTAAGAGCTACATTGTCCCCCGCCAGCTACGAGCCCTCTGCAATGTGAGCCTGCTGAGGAAGCAGGGCAGGCAGCTGGGAGAGGCGCGGTGCTTCTCCAAAGAGGAGAGATCCCAGATCCATCAAGCACTCGTCAGGCCCTGGCTCAGAGCATCTCTGAGCCATCTGCATGCTACAGCCGGCAGCTTCACCCCAGCTCATGGCAGAAATCTGCAGAAAGTCTCAACCTCAGCCACAGCCCCCAGGGCTCCCTGCCACTGGTAGACCAGGATCAAGCCGAGTCATGGAAATCAAACAGAGATGTGGCTCCTAAGTGCCTGCTCATAGCACCCACACAGAGCTCTTCTGCCTTCCCTGTCCTGGAAACGACAGCAGGAGGGCAGCATGGCCATACTTACAAATTTATTGTGGCTGAAAAGGTTGATTATAATGATGGGGGTCTCTGTTTTCAACTCTTCTTTTTTCCCATCAATAATGAGCTGGTCAAACAGAAGTAGCTCATTCCACATGGGACTCAGTGTCCCCTCCAGCATCTGCAGAGAGACAGGAGGCCTGAGCATACCACAGCCAGTGGAAACAAACCCCATGCACTTTGAAAAGAGACTGAGGAAGCGTGGGCTGATCTCCCCCTCCCACACAGCTGCACACAGCTGGCACCTGGCAGCAGGGGAGGTTGTAAAAGCGTGAAATCGGCACTTGGGACCAGGCAGCACATGGCAATCAACCTTTGAGACCATGCTCAATGATATAGATGTTTTGTGAAATGTTCCCTGAACGTAGTCACACTGCACAGAGCAAACAAATACCTCGTGCCTGGAGGTACAAAATTTCCAGGAGGACTACCACGGCACTGGCCTTCAACAGGTCAGCAAGGACACTATTTTTCTCTGCCCAAGACCCCAAGAAGGCAGAGGCAAGAGTTTAAGTGGTCTCACCCTGGTGGTCTGGCAATGAGTTGAAAACACCACTCTCACAAATGGATCTGAAAGGCCGTTGTCACCTGCAGGGAGGATACCTCGAGCCTGATACAGATGGGCTCCGAGCTGGAAATAGCTGAAATCTGGTAAAGAAAAGAGAAGAGAGGTCCTAGTTCCCCAATCCAGCCCTGTGTGAGGCAGAAAAATGCATGAAAAGGGCCAGCCAGGTAGGAGTGCGCACATCCTGCAAGGAATGGGTACCACTTCTAGGGGCACTCACTGTGGTTCTCAGAAGGCCAGGACATCTCAAAAAGTTTGGCCAAGCAAGACAAGCTCAGTGGGCTCCTCAGACACCTCTGGGAAGGACATGACATGTGAAATGTGCAGTGCTCTGTTGCAAGCATCTGCTGTGTGGGAGCACTACCAGGCCTCAGCAAAGGGGCAGACCTCATGCCCATTGCCAGACCTCACGCCTATTGCCAGTCTGGCAGCACGTTCAGTCCCCACGAAGCACCCATCCTGCCTGCTGCTCCAGCTGTGAGTGTGCAAACACATCCTCATGAGAGCAACCTGGACCTGCCTGTCACAGTCATGCCTTGGAGATAATGTGGAGATGATAGATCAGGTCCTACTCCTCAGACACTGACCCTGGGGCAGGAGCTCTCACCTCTCTGCTCTCCTGCTCACAGTCAAGCCGTGGAAAAGTGGCATCTGCACTCACCATCCCTGCTGAGCTGGCTGGGAGGAATGTACGCTGAGAGCTGGGCTATCTTCTGACCACTCTCAGAGAGGTACTTGAACTCCTCAGGCAGCTCCGCCAAACAGTTCTTCGCATACTTGGTTATCCCAAGCCACATGTACATTTCCAGTTTGGCAAAGATCTCACCAGTGTGTAAGTGAGGGACCTGAAAGCACAGGAGGTTTAGCAGGTTTCCCATCTCAGCCATGCCCCCTTCAGACCAAGATGATCACCATCAGCCAGCAACACAGGAGACAGAGCACCACCAGAGGCAAAAGGCAGTGGTGGAGCAAGAGCTGTGTTTCCTTGTGAGTTCCAGGATTTCAGGAAGGAGGGCTGGAAGCAAGGAGGGAGAAGCAGTGTGAAGCAAGCAAGAGCACACTGTTTTGGTATGAACCCTACCTTCATAATTACAGTCTGGATCTTTGCACAATCCTTGCCTTTCTCCTCTTCAACTACTGAGTAGAGGATGTTCTGTGCAGGAATTCTTGCATACGCCACACGTCTGTTGTTGCTGAGCATCCAGACAAGGACATCGGGGAGGGTGCACTGGGGCTGGAGGGAGGAAAGAGAGGAACATCACAGCAGAGGAACACCACGTATCTTGTCCTTGCTCCACTGACATGATGAAAGCTTCGTCTCCTCGCAGGAGGGAATGCTGGCTGCACGGCGCTTTGGAGATCCAGAAGCAAATGAAGGGCCTAACATTGGGCACATGCTTCTGAAAGTCTCATCTCTGCAATACGGCTCTGCAGGTTTCTTGGAGGGATCTGGTGATCCACCTTGTATTTCACTGCAAACACCAGCAGTATGCACTCAACCCCATGGCATGTTGGGAAGAGGGAGCCCCCACAAGACTGGAGAAGTAGCATTTTACCCCCCACCTTTGACAGGAGCCTGAGTGCTGACCCATGGGAAGGAACCACACCAGCCAGCATCTCAGCTACATGAGTGCCCAGCGTAAAGCTGCAGTTTGGGTTGACAGCAGGACTTGCACGAAAGCAAATGAACAGATGGAAGCAATGACTTCTTTTAAACTCTAAAGTTCTCTTTCCCATCTCAGTTTTCCTGCCATTAGTGTTTGCACTTGTACTTGTGTATTGGGTTTGTATGGCATGGTTTTGGTAGTGGGGGGGCTACAGGGGTGGCTTCTGTGAGAAGCTGCTAGAAGCTTCCC